AAGTGCAAGGGAACAACAAAAAGTGAAAATTTGGGAAAATAGTCAAAAACTCGATCGGGTTTGACTTGACCCGAAGATCAAAATTTGATTTGGAAGCAATTTAACATGCAGAGCGAAGATTTGGTAAAGATTTGTCTTTTACCCGATCGGGTAAATCAAAAACCCGATCGGGTAGATGTGACTAATGAACATTCCGGGCAATTACTCAAGAAACCCGATCGGGTTTCTCAAAAACCCGGTCGGGTAAATGACCCTACTACCTCCAAACACCTATAAATACACCTCTTTTCCTTCTCATTTGATATCCAATTCCTTTGTACATCTAAGCTCAGTATAGAATAACTCTTTCTTTATATTTTTCATCATGTTTAGTCTCCAAATGAGGAGCTAAACTCTTCCATCTTGGTTTTGCTACTTTGAAGCTTAATGAATTTGTAAGTTGTGAGTTATTTTCTTTAATCTTCTTCCTTGAATATTAATTCTTCCTTTCAAATACTATCTCTATATCAAAGTTGGGGAGTGTTACTAAGATGACAATTAGTTAACATCTTGACATTGGTTATAGTAATAGCTATTTCTCCCTCTATGTTAATATTGGGGAGTGTTACTAAGATGACAATTAGTTAACATCTTGATATTAATCATAGTAGGATTCATTTTCTTTAATATTCTTCCTTGAGTATTAATTGATTCACATTCATATTTCATGTTAATATCTTAAACATTACTTAAAGTATCAACTAGTATTGTTTCTCATATTAATTATTACTAGAATCGATCGGTTAATACGCTTGTTATTAATCCGGTTCTTTCAACGGTAGTAAACTTGGAATATTAATGCATGCATCTCATGGTTAATATGTCAAGGGGAATTAATTATATTGATTAAACCAATAAACCGCTTGTGTTGAGGTTATCAATCTCAATCGTTTTCATCTTAAGTTTATTGCTACTATCAAGTTAATATACGGCGCTTGTTCTATATTGACTCGATAGTAAGTTTTATTAATGAACGCATCTTGTTATTAATAACTACCCTCGATGAACTGGATATACTCCTCGATTGAGTATTCGAGAGGAAGATAGTTAAAGATATAACCGGGATCGACGAACATTTCATTAAGTGGATAAAAGCAAAACCAAGTCTTCATCTCATTGAATTAAACTCATATAGGTTGTTTATCTTAGTGTTTTTAAAGCAAACAAATCTAAACCCCCCTTTTGTTACTATTTATTTAAAAGAAAAGTATTCCTTTCCCTGTGGATACGAACCTTACTACACTATACTACGTATTAGTGTCGTATTGATTATTTATTTTGAGTGCACCTAACGACAAGTGCACGTCAAGGTGCAAAGTCAAATATTAACCAAAACATGGGGTGCAAAGTCAAATTCTCCCTAATTATTATCCTGAAAAAGATAACTGGAGTTCTATTATGAATTAAATTAGGAGCATTGTTAGAATGATACGGTTTTAGTTAGTTTATACGATAGTACATGACGCACTACTAGATAATTCTAGTACTAGTTCTATTTTTCCATTAAAAGACTAAATATTCTTATTTGTAATTGTCCAAATGAACTGTTTAATGTCCACTAATACTAGTATTATACCCGTGCGATGCACGAGAAAATATATTTCTCATATGAAAAAGTAAGTCTTCGAATAACACATATACATATAGTTTATAATTTTCCCACATAAGAATTTAATTAATACTACCTCCGTCCCACTAATATTGGGACAGAAGAGGATGACACAGTTATTAAGAAAATAAAGATTATGTGGTTGAAATTAAATGATAACTTAAAAAAAAGTAAGAATGATTTAGAATTACACAAACTTTACCAAATTTTGTATGAGACAATTTTAGTGAAAATTTCCGGAAAAGGTAAATATAAATGATAGCAAAAAATTCTTACACTAAAATAACTTCAGAATAAAAGTATTTTAAAAAAAGTTTAAAATGTTTTTCAAATTTTTAAATTGTTCTTGAAATACGGCAGTGGTTGTTACATTGGTACTTGATCACATATAAAAGTATCTTTAAACCCTTGAGACTAATAACACGTGAAAGAGCAATATACAATTTAATATTTGCACATTACTTGAATTTATTACATACACTATCATCATGTATATGAAGTTCAGAAAAACTATTTTTTAAAAATTACATGCTAATTTCTGTTCATAACTATAACACCCATTTTCAAAACAAAAAAATGAGCACATTGTAGAACATAAAACACAGCCAAAACTCAATCCTAGCTACGCTAAATTGGCGTAATGATCCCAGAATCACCCCTCAGTGATGGTAAATTAGCGATGGAAATAGCCGTCTCAAAATAGCGACGGTTTTAGCAACGATTCTGTCGCTAAACCGTCGCTAAAATCGTCTCTATTTTGAGATTCTTTTGTCGTCGCTAATCCGTCTCTGTTCCGTCCCAGCCATATTTGGCCTTCCATTTTCGTCTCAATTTCTGTCGTTAATTTTAAAAAATCCCCCGTATCTTCACTATGTGTACCTGTTTCAAACCACAAATTCAAACAAACCCTCGTCAAATTAAGAGCTCTTGTTGGAAGATTTCCGACTACCGCATACATGAGCACCAACTGCCGAACGTCGTCATTCCAGGTATGCCGCGCCACCCTTCGCTTATTCCGAACACATCATATATATACACCCTTGTTTGTACCTGTAATTTCATTCTCGTATACCAATTCCAACCCACAGCTTCAAACAAATTCCTCGTCCAATTGAGGGCGCGTACTGTATGATTTCCGACTGCCACATACAGAAGCACCAACTGTCAGATGCCACTACTCCAGGTATGCCACCCTTCTCTTATTCCGAAAACAGTAGATATACACCCTCATATACTTATTCCATATATCACTCTCATATATTACAGGTTTGTTGCAAAAGAACTCATAGATTGAATCAAGATGAGTGAACACGATAAGCATGCACCCTTCTATCTCTTAATGCTTTATATTGGTTATCAATAACTTATGGATACAGAATCAAGATGGATGTAACATAATTTTCTAAATTCATTATCTTTTAAAAATTCTTTGGCAGAATGAAGAGTAGAATTGAAGGAGATGCACCCGGGTTTTGGTTTTTCTTTTTAGAATGGTCAATTTGATCGGGATGGAAAAACCGTTGGAATTAAATAAATTGATTTCACATTTGTTAAATCCATCGCTAAGGACAATGGTGTAGTATTCTTTGGCAACCGCTGTTTCCATCAATGATTGAAACGGATATTTCTGTTTCTAAAACCGTCGCAGGATAAAGAATCCATCGTTGAACACCGTAGCTAATAATTGCAGCACACGTATTCCGATGAAAAAACCGTCACTTTTCCGTCTCTAATTTTATTAGCGTCTCTAATCTTCATAACCCCTCTTTTTCAAATTTATAACTCCCGATTAAAAACAAATGTTTGTGTCAACTCCCCTCCTCTTCACCCTTCATGGCTAATATTCAACCCCCCTAATGTCCCAAAAATACCCTTAAGGTCCATTACCCAGTCGATAATTTTCTTTAAATTGATTTATTTAAATAGAATCTTAACATGAATTGTTCATTAAGTCAATCTATAATACAATATGTCTTTAATTCAAATGACTGCAGACTATTGTTTAGAAAAAAACATATTTTAAAAGCCTTCATTTGTAAAAAGTGATACCGATGGATAATGTACCCGGGGGTTGCTTACCCGCGGGTTACTGCGGGGAGTAACTTACAGACAAGTCAGAGCAAATAAGTAAAAGAGATAAGGAGTTCGAATATAGAATGAGTATTCCAATTGTCATTACAATGGGGAAATAGGCTGCTATATATAGCAGCAATAAATGCTAGGTAGGGACACGTGTCAATAATCTGGTGGTCGAGGGATCACCTCAACCGGGGTGGCAATGGCACTCGCATGTGGCCGTATTAAATGCGGTGGTTGGATGTGACGCCAGTACTTGGTACGGCGATCCAGCACATGTGGAGAGGAGATTCTGTAGAGGAAGATACATTCAGCTGTAGGTGACAATCCAAAGGCTCTTCGTACCGGGGACCTCATAGTGCCGAGGGCTCTAATTGCCGAAGGCTTGGTTCTCAAGCCTTATTTTCGTGTGATGTTTCCGAGCTTGTATATGTAAACGGTAGCCTTCGGCCATGGAGCCGAAGGCACCCCCATGTGCGTATTGTGGGCTGCTTAGAGCTTTGTCTTGCTGGGCTTGGCCCGCGTGAACCTGTTGGGCCTGATTGCAGTAGTGGAAGTATGTGGGTCGGGGGTCCCGTGCCATATACTCCATGAGATACTATTTAAGTATATAAACTATAAAAAAGTATTTAGGTGTATTTTGAATAATTTTAAAAAGAAAAGCTTAACACTTTTATATGTTAATCAAGCAAACAATTTTCTGTCAATCTTAAAAAAAATTGTAAAAAAATAATGAGCAATCATGAGTAATTCGTTTACTCAAATATCTCAATCTAACTCGATACTTTGGTATATCAATACTTTGGTATACCAAAGTATTGAGTTGGATTGAGATTTTTGAGTATACGAATTACTCAAATATCAATGCCCTAGGTTCCGTAATTTTTTCTAGGTTCGCCAATGATTTTAATTTTTCTTCCACAATTTAAATTTTGTACATATCAATAATGTCCACCAAAATTCCATGGTTTTTGTAACAATTAATCTATATCTATCCAATTGTTTTTTTTCTGAAATCGATGAAGATAACTATCACTTTAGCGCATCGAAAATATCACTTCAAGCACACACATAAAACTTAATCGATCATCTTCATTATCCAATGAAAAATGGTCCTATATATATAGGAAGATTAGGAACTGGAATTTGAAAGATTCGTATTTGATAACTGATACACACACATATGTGTGTGTTTATTCCCCCAGTCTGACTATTTGACTGAATTTCCGTAGAATAATTAATACAATAAATCATCAGATCCATTTCTAAATATAATGAAGCAAACGGCCGGATGTATATTTATGATTGTTGGTCGTATAACCTTAAAAAGAACACAACCCAGTACTAGCCAGGCCAGCTGTTCCAATTAATATTAAAAATATATATTACGTAATCCGTATATCTTTAATAAAACGTACTACTCCGGCCGGCGGGCCGGCGGCCGGATTTGTACATATAGTAATTACAATAAAGCATTGATCTTTCATTAAGTACGTATTACACAAAGTTAACTATCAGAAGCAGACTGATTTTAAAAGAGAAACCCTTCCTTAGATGAGTAATAATATATATAATTAAGCTAAGGTGTCATTAATTAGGTGAAATGGTGAGAAGACGAAGTGGCAAGATTATTGTACGAGTTGAGGCTGAGCTCGAGAGAAGCCATCGCCCGGGCCGCCGAGCCGCCGCCGTTGTCATCGTAGCGGCGGCACCACTGGTCCGCATTGCTGTAGTAGCATCCACCGTAGGTGGTGGCTGCCGGCATGTGGTGGTCGGCGTGAATTGGGAAGAGAGGGAGGGTTTCTTGATCCCGTTCTTGATCATCGTGGTCCTCCTCTAGGGTTTCATGAGCGGCCCTGATCTTTTCAAGAAACGGGTAGTATGGTGGGGCCGGGTTGTATGGGTGGTGGTGATCCACCCCTACCCACGCATAGTTGTGATGATTATGAGGCGCCGCCGCCGCCACGTGACATCCTCCGCCGCCGTTGCTTGCACCGCCCGCTGATATCGAACAGTTCTGCTTTTGTTTTTTCCCATAAAAAATGTACAATAACATTAATTAATTGCTAAAAGCAACGCCGTACCTAGAAATTAAAGATTAAGAAACATGATCATTATTATATTATTATTATTATAAAACAAAAAACAAACCCTAACTTACCCGAAAACTCCGCTCCATAGCTACAGTGCTCCCATAGCTATAGTTCCCTATCTGTCCAACATTCACTACGCCAGATGCAGGCGAAGAAGCTGAAAAAAAAGAAATAAAAGAAAATAAAAAAACCAAATACGTGACATAATTAAGATAATTAATTTAGGTATGTTTCTTATCTCAAATTCAATTTACCGAAGGAGCTAGAAAATGACAGTTTTGGTTGGGGAAATTTGTATTAAAACAAATTGTGTCATCTCAAATAAAAACCCCAAATAAAAGCCATATTTTTTTTGGAAAATAAATGCCATAATTAAGATAATTAATTTACAATTTATGTATGTTTCTTTTCTCAAATTGGAGCTAGCAAATGACAGCTTTGGTTTGGGAAATTTATATTAAAAGAAATGGTGTTATCTCAAATAGGATTAATTACAAGCATTTTTTGTATGAACTTCTTTACATAATGATGCTTTTTATTCAATAAATGTTTTTCTTTATCTTTAATCATAAATAAAATTTAGGAAAGAAATGTAGTCAAGGTAGTAAAGTTTTAGTCTTTTAATTATGAACAATAATTTCCCTGGTTTCATCTCGGTACAGTTTTCGTACCACACTTTCAGTTTTCTGAAGCTTTAAAATCCTCCTCCCAATTAGGGTTCTGAGTGTTTGGGAAAAACAATTCAAAGAGTGAGAGATCATGAAGAAAACTTGGGTGTTATATTTAAAGTACCATTTATTTATTATATTTACTCAAAGAGGAGTAAAATTTTGTTGAGGTTTCAAAAGGATGATCTTTACAAACTAAATAATGAATTCTTTAAAAGTAGAAAGCACATTAATTAATTCATTAAACCTTGTGGGTTATTGAAGTTAGAGCACTGATCAGCAGCGGATCTCCAAACGCCTCTCTGCATTTGCATGGAAAAGGCGGCGGCGGCGTCAGGCGGGACGACGGTGAGGCGTTTCTTCTGGCGTTCCCGGGCTTTGTGGTTCTGGAACCAGTAAAAGACATTCTTGCCCTCGATCTTCCCGTACTGCCTCAGCTTAGCGGAGATCCTCTGAATCTGTTCGGCGCTCGGGGACCTAACGCCATTGTTGTAGTACAGTTCCTTCAAGATTCTTATCTGCTCCGTCGTGGGAGTCCACCGCGTGCTGCTCTGCCGGCAAAGGTACCCGGCGGCTCCGCCGTTGCTCTTGCTCCCTCCCCCTCCCCCCTCTTCGGGGTTCCCATTCTGGGTTTGGTTTGGATGGGTACAGTAGTTTTGTTGTTGAGGTTCCATTGCAGAAGCAGAAAGGTTCTGCTTTAGCTTTCTTGCTGGTGGAAGTAGAAGACAAGAATTCAAGAAAACAGAGAATTGAAAGGAAGAGAGAAAAGTAGTTGGTGTGTTTGTGAGAGATTCATGAGGTGAAGGATGGGTATAAATAAGTGGATAGGGGTTGGGAGGACATTCTATGCTTCATCGTACAATATAATCTCAATTCAACTGTTATTCTTATGTTCTCTTTGTTGTAACATTTTTGCTGCATTTTGTGGTTATTTTGAGGGAGTGGTTTGGTAAAGGTGAAATTATTCTTGATTGTGTTTGGTAATTATGGAATTGATTGAATCACTTTTTTTGAAGCAAATTTATTGAATCACTTGAATAAGTTGGATGTAGTAATATTGGTGATATTATAATTGAAGAATTTGGTAACACTGAAATCGATTGGATCAGCAGATTCTGCTGAAATTTATGAAATTCTGGCTGAACAGGTTGTAGTGACTGATTCTGTTGATTTATGAATAAATTATATTTAAAATATATTTAACTAATAAAATAAAATAAAAGTCATACGAAAAAATAGCTAATATGGTCATATACAGTAACATCAACCAATACAACCCAAAAAGTAACTTCAATCTTACTTTTTCTTAGTGTTACAAATTTCAGCTCGCGATATAAAAATTACATGTTTGGTTTAAAAATTGACTGATAAATCGATTAACAGAGTTACCAAATGGGCTCGGAATACTCCGTATATTTTTAGAAAAGGTTAAGAAAAAGAGAGATTTTCCTAAATAAGACTAAAAGAATGTATAATTGTAAAAACATGACTACTATGTTTTATTGGACAAAAATAGGACTAAAAAGAGCTAAACTGACGAAAATACCCCTAATGAAAAAATTACGCACACCAGGTCTCTGCTGCGCATGTTTCCCCTTCCCCTTTCTGCGCAGGTTTCCCCTTCCCCTTGTTGCGCAGGTGTGCCGTATGCGCATGTTTGGAGTCGACGCCTCCACCATTGGCACCTCTGCCACCATCCATGAAGTCTGCCACCACCGCCACCACTCAGCTAGTACGCTGCCATCACTCTCCAACAAAGATTTGCCCTGAAGTGAGTCAATGCATATCTCCATGAGGAATGACACTTCATATGCGAGAATGCCACTTAATATGCATAATGACACAATAATGACAATTTCGTATAGAGAAATGACATTCTCAATATGACATTTTCAAATACCGTAATGACATAAAAGTGACATTTTTTAAAAATACCCATTAATAATGACATTCTACTATTCAAAAGTGGCATTTTCTGGAATCATTAGTCAGAGCATTTTGAGAATCAAATTAATCAAAATTGATAACAAAAAATTCAAGTTCAGATATATCTTCATTTGGAACTTTCAAAATTCAAAATTTTATTTAAAATTTGATTGATAAAAAACTAAAAAAAAAAGCAGAAAACTAGGAAGAAGAAGAAGAAGAAGAAGAGGAGGAGGAGGAGGAGGAGGGGGAGGAAGAAGAAGAAGAAGAGTACATACATGTCTTGGCTATTGCAGCAGAGGTCGTCGACGGCGGAGCTATGGTGTTATGAGGCTACGATCGATGGCGGAATGCGGCCATGGTGGAGTAAAGAATCGCGAAAGATGAATGGGTTAGAGGAAGATGAAATTGGCGATCGATTGCAGAGGGTTAGGTTAATGAGGGGTAAAAATGTAATCTTTAGTCCTATTTAGGCAATTTAAAACTTGAAGTCCTGTTTTAGAGTTTTAACCATGTTTTAGTCCCATTTAATATAATTTCTTTAAGAAAAAATTATATGGAAAAAGCTATATTTTCCAATTTAAGAGTTGTAAAGTCGAAGTTAGAAGTTAGAAAGTAGGATCCTCTTATTAATCTACTAAAAATGTGATGTAAGAGTTGAATTGACTAAAGTAAGAAAAAAACGGTAATATACTCCACAAATAAATTACAATTTGTATGAACATGCGAAGACAGTCACCTTAAAAAATATGTCAAAGAAATAATTATAGCTCTTACTTAATTTGGTGTTAACACATTTGAATGCGTGAAATTAAAAATTTACATTTTGATAGTTAGGAATGTTAATTAGGAATGTTTAATTTAGTGTACAAGGGTAATTGGGATGAATGGACCATTTCACCCGCACGGGTAGCTCAGTTGGTTCAGTATTGGAAAATTTGGACCAAGTGACTAAGGTTCGAAACCCGCAGCGGCCGTGTGGAGGTCACAGAACCTGAAATAAGGCTGGACATCTGGTGCGCACGGAAAAAGGCCTACCATCATTGGGCCGACTGAGTCACCGTGATTAACATCCTCCCAAAAATCCTGTCGGGTCGGGGTAGTGGTAGATTCCACCTTTTGGACCAAGATGAATGGACCATTTCAACCGATTAATCCCATAGTATGTAAAAAATTAATGAACACATAAACAGATTCTCCAGTGACTTATCTGGAAATAGAGCTAAAGATTTCATCGACTTTTTCATATCCTAGATTCAAATTTGTATGGTAATACGGAGTAACCAGTTTCGTTTGCTTTTTCGATAATTGTCAAAAGGGTTTTATATAATGAATTTCTTAACTTAAATAAAAAAATAGAAGTGCTGGAGAAAATTTTATTCTCCAGCTTTTGTTGCTATTAATCTGAATCATATATGATGATTATTTTTTATTTCTTGAACAGAAACCATATGCATACTCTCAGTGTTCAATATTATCGGTTCGAGTTACAAGTTACAACCCGTAAATCATTTCTCATAATGTAATATATACAGAGTAAATTATTTTTATAAATTTTTTTTATACTCCGTATGAAAAATATTGATTTTTGGAAAGAGCTAAGTGATATGAACAAGAGGTATTACTGATTTTAATCATAAAGTCATTTCTAATTATATACTCCTTATGTATCACATTATCTATCTCATTTGCTTTTGTGCATAAATAAGATAATTACTTTACATTTTTATAAAAAGTAAGAGATTTCATATACTGTAGTGGTACTGTGTTTGTTTTTTACGGTGAGTTTGTTTTGAAAAGGAAATGAGATAATTAATTTGATACATTATAAAAAAGAAAAATGAGAGAGATAAATCGATACAAAGGGAACACTAAATTATTGTTATATTTTATGTACTTATTTATTTATTACGGAGTAATAAATTTTAGGTAGAATAATGAATTCCAATCAAATAAAGCCGGCCGACAAATGCCTACATTAGATTAGATTTCATACTTTTGAAAAGTAATATGTGTCAAGTTCTGCCGCCAGTAGGGTTTTGACCCTTGTCTGCGTAAGTTGGGGTCGACGAACCTTTTCGCTCGACGTTGGACGATACAGGGCCCAACCTCTGCGTAATTTGGACCAATTCCAAATTTGATTGGGTTCGTGCGACTAATCTGAATTGGGATGTGGAGATTACTCGTTCTCGGATCGGTTTTGTTCGTGCAGTACCTTAGTCAAGAGAAAGAGGCGATTCACGGACAGATCGAAGTGATGAAGGAAGAAGATAAAGGGATAAAAATATGTCCCCTCCCGAACCACCGCCATGGATGAACTATGCTACTAGGGTTTGGAAGGCTGCTTAACTATTTCTTGTTTTTTATTTTCAGTCCAAACTATTTTACTATTTCTATTTTATTCTTTTGAGGATTATCAATAAGGGGGGGTAGAATGACGCTTTGTTTTGCTTTAGTTGATAGATTTCTTATTGGAGACAATCAGACTGATTCAGCCGCTAATAGCCTCGAAGTTCTCATATTTTTAGCGATTAGTTTCGCTCTTTTTGTGGTGGACTATTCTATGTCTGGGGGGCTGGGCTCTTAGTCATTTTGGGATAGAGGGAGTTACTTTATTGTTTGCATGTTACCTTATTATACCGTGAGCTTGGTTTTAATATAATATTTTAGTTTCCTATCCAAAAATGAATTCCAATCATGTTAAGATTTCACCTATAGGCGCTACCGACCAATCACTTGACCGGTGAAATGATTTGGCAAAGTGTATCAATTTACAGTTCCTCACTATATCTATATCTATTTGTTTCGCAAGATTCATTCCTAAGTGGTGTTGTTTTTATATACTCCCTCTCGTTCTTAATTAACTTTACATTTTCTTTTTTGGGTCGTCTAATATTACACTTTACACTTCCTTATTTACCTTATTTGGCATACAAATGGACACCAAACAGTGTCAAACTGTGTCAAACTGTGTCAAACGGTGTACTTTATAGTAAAGTCAGATTTATTTCCTTAACATGTGTGAAGTCAAAGTGTAAACTTCATTATGAACCGGAGGGAGTACTCTGTAATTTCTAAGCCTATATCTGTTTTTAGAAATTGTCCTAAATAGGAGTAAAATCACTCTGAAATTCCAAAATAGGAGTATCATGTTTTTTATTCCTTGAATAGGGGTAATCTGCCAAGTTTAGAAAAAATGTTATGTTTAGTAGCCTAGTAATGCCAAACTTAGCCGAAATTTACTTCTATTTAGGCAATAAAAACATGATACTCCTATTTTGGAATTTCAAACCTTTTTTTACTCTTATATAGAGAATTTACTCATCTGTTTTTTCATATGCATATCATATACTACGTATGATATCTTAATAGTAAATAATTATTTTATTAAAAATTATACAATCATGCATTTGAAATGTATGAATGGTATCGAATTCAACTCCGCACATCAAATATGCATTGACAAATTTTACGGTACCCTCAAAATACCATGCATATTTGGACTCACCCTATTATTACATCTCATATTACAATTGGACACTTTAAATATTAATAAATGATAGAGATGATGAGTTGGACATGACACTTTAAATATTAATACTCCGTATTATTTGTGAGTAGCTTAACACTCAACATACATATTTGTTTTACCGGTGGGCGTAGCTCAACCGTTGGTAAGGGAGTGCCACAAGGGTTAGGTCCTGGGTTTAAATCCCGACAACTGCGATGAGGGTTACTATGCTAAAATGCATATGGCCTCTGCAAGTACTAAGGACAGAGTCTCATTCTCTATTTGTCAGATTGAGATTATAGTCCAATTTACATCCTCCTAACATACCATCCGGTCGAAGTTGAGGGCC